CCGGCGGGTGGAAACGCGCGGCCCTGAGACGGGCGCAGCTCGCGGGCGGGGCGCCGTGGGGGCGGGGCGGGCTCGCTGTCCCCCACCCTGCACTCCTTGCCGTCGGGAGGCCCCGGCCCACGTGCGGCCGTCCACCGGGCGTTGTCCCGCTGCCTGCAGTGTCGCAGCAGGCCGTGTCACAAGGCCCTGGGGCACCAGGAGGCTGCGAGTGATGGCATTCCAGACACCGGTCAATGCGACATTGGACATCCCAGCCCGCGGGGCGACCGGGCGCCCCGGTTTGGACTGAGGCCTGTGAGCTCCGGCTGCCACCGTGAGCGTGGCTCAGACTCAGGGTCGCTGTCCCCCTACACTTGGGGAGAACGAGACACACCTCGTAAGGAAATCTCCGCCGATGACAAGTGCTAGGAAGATGGGCAGGACTGGGAGCTGGAGCCAGAGCTGGGTCAGTTGGGATCAGACCAGGAGTCTGTCTGGACAGGTGGCCAGGTGGCCTGCAGCTGACCCCCCAGGAGCCACATCTCGCTCTGGGGCAGGAACGTTCCGGGTGGAAAACCACCGCTGCACGCGCCGGGGGCGGGGCAGGAGCAGGCCCGGGGCAGGAACCAGGAACCAGGAACCAGGAACCGTGGGCCCGAGGACTGTAGACCAAGGCCTGGTCTGGATTTCAGCCACTGAAGGGTTTCCGGCTAGGGGATTTTGAATGTGCTCTGAAATGTATTCTTTTACGCCTGGCATAATTTCGGACTGTCATAAAAGTGGCAAGAACAGTACCAAGGATTCACAGGCACCCTTCTCCCGGTTTCCCAAATGTTAGCATCTGCTCACCCCTGGACCTGCGAATGGGACCTTGCTTGGAAGCAGGGGCTTTGAGGACACCATCAGGTTAAAAGCAGCCAGGCGGGTCAGGTGTATGTGTGGGGAGGGGATGTTTAATCCAGTTCAACCTTGTAAGAAAGGAGAAGTTTGCACACGGTCTGCGAAAAGGCTGGTGAAGATGGAGCAGAGACTGGAGTTAAGCTGGCGTGGACCGGAATGGCCTGGGACTGCGGCAGCCTTGGGACAAGGGCAGGACAGGAAGGACCCTCCCTGGAGCCTTCACAGAGGCCCGCGCTCCCAGCTCACAGAAGTCCAAGATGATAGATTGGTGTCACTCCCCCGTTCGAGTTTTGGTAGCGTGTTACAGCAGCACAAGTTGTTTTTTAGTTTTTAAAAATTTTGACATGATTCCAGACTGTCAGAAAAGTGTTGAGAACCACACAAAGAATTCCCTGAGTCCCTCCTCCAGAGTTTCCAAGTGTTAAATTTTACATTTGCTTCCTTTCTCTGTCTCTGTCTTTACGCGCGCGCGCACACACGTGGTATATGAACCAATGTGTGTGTCCATCTGTCTGGTTTCTCTGAGTTGTGGAGAGCAAGTCACAGACACGATGCCCCCTTACCCCTAAATACTTCAGTATTTCCTAAACACGAAGAATTATATTCTGCAATCACAATACAACTGTTAATAAAGTCAGGAAATTAACAGTGGCACAAAATGATGATCTAATCAACAGCCCTGTTCAGAGTTTGCCAGAACAGTTGACCCTCATGCATAAAATATACGTAGGTGCTACTCTATTTTATCATTTACTACCATAAAATACATACCAATCTATTATTAAAAGTTAAAATTTATCAAAACTTTGGATACAAACACAGACCGTTCATGGTGCGATTCGAGAGAGAAATGTAAACAAATGTAAAGCTCTGTGGTCACCTGGGACTGAGGGGTCACGGTGGCAGATCGGCACAGTCCCTGCGGGGCGTGGGGTCTGTGGGAGTCAAGCAGGCTGTCTCCAGCTGTCCCCCAGGAGGTGGGGAGGGGTCCCGGGAGGCGGTGGTGCGAGGCAGGTGTGTGGACCGACCACCCCGAGGAACGGCGGGAGGAGGACTGGAACCGTGTCGGTGGCTGAGCCCGGCTGGTGAGAGAGTCCAACTCCCATCCACGGCGCATGGACGTGAGATGGGGATTCCCTGCACAGCACCTGTCGTGATCACTGTAGCTTTGTGATGAGTTCTGGAATCAGCACATGCGAGTCCCTCAACTTTGTTCTCTTGTAAGATTGTCTGTTTTTTCGGCATCCCTCGTAATTCCATATGAAATTTTAGGCCAGCTTTTCTGTTTCTGCAAAGGGGCTATAGGACTGTGACGGATCGCTCTGTGCCTGTGGATCGCCTGGGGCAGTATTGCCGCCTTAACGACTTTAAATCTGCCAATCCGAGAGCACAGAATGTCTTTCCATTCATTTAGGTCTTTAATTTTTTGCAGCAATGTTTTGTGATTTTCAGTGTGCAAGCCCTGCCCTTCACTGGTTACATTTATTCCGAAGTGTTCTGTTCTTTTTGACTCAGGTACGTCTTCTGGTCCAGGAGCGTGGGACGTCTCTTTCTTACGTCCGCTTCACCATGTCCAGCATGTGTGGTCATGTTCCGAGTATGACTTTTGCACTACTTTTTGCACCATCTCCCAGTGCTTCTCTGCCCGACAGGCCTGTCAGATTCCTGCCTACTCTCTGCTTGTCGGCCCCACCCTAAGTCCTGCCTTCATTTGCCAGGCCCGTCCCTACTAACACCAGCACTGGCCTTCACGCCCTCGCTGCAGTGGGCAGGCCGTGCGCTGAGCGCTCTGCCTGTGGGAGCTGACGAAGCCCCGCGACAGCTGCGGGGCAGGCACCGGCCAGTCCTCACCTTACAGAAGAGGGCAGTGGTTCGGGGGTGGGGTGACTTTCCCGGGTCCTCAGGAGCAGGGGGCAGAGAAAGGGCCAGACCCAGAAGCCCAACCCAACCCAAGCTTGGGACACGTTAGTTTGAATCGCATGAAACTGCTGATGTTTCATATTTTTTGACCTTATGATTCAGCTTATAAAAAGAAAAAAGACGTGCGATTTCCAGGACTTGAAGTAGGTCCCTGAATATTTGTCCACCAGGCAGCTGCAGGTGGGCATTTTGTGCGTCTAAGGTTTGCTGCGTCTGGTTTGAACGTTCTCTGCAAGGATGCAACAGCCACGAGCGAGCCAAGTGCACTGGGATATGCAGGCGTCTTCTGAGCGAGACTGCAGTACGTCCGAGATGAGGGCCCCTGTTTGGGACAGCGCCCCTCCCTCAGAGCCACTATGCACCGTCTGACTGGGTCCATCCAGTGGGTACCAGTCGGGGACAGGCTAACACTGAGTGGTCGCCTCACTTGCTGGTCCGATAGACCCCTGAGCCCTGGTCTCTCCTGAAAGGGCCACATGGTCTAGCAGCAACTGTCCTACTGCCCCTGGAAGAAGGCCAGGGAAGACGGCCACCTGGTTTCGGTCTCAGGGTTGTTTGGTTGAGAAGGTTCCTTTACGTAACATGGTGGAAAGAAAAGACCTTGAACTTCAATTTCTGTGAACATTAAAGTGGGGAAGGCGATTTCAGCTTTGGACCATGTTTTCTCTTAGGAACTTGACAGTGGGAGGGGGGCAGTATTTTCCAGACTTGGCTGCTTTGGATTACTGCCAATGCTCCCCTGTGGTCTCCTGCAAAGCCACTCAGGAGCCTCTCTGGACGGGGCCCAGCCTCACCAGCGAGGGGGGTGGAGGGAGTGGCGTGCCAGCGCGGCTGCAGGTGGCTCTCCAGTTAACCCACGTGGCTCTCACCTGCTCACACATTTCCTGGGGCAGAAGCCACCGTCTGTCTGTGGAGCCAGGGGAGCCTCCAAGGACCAGAGGGAGGCAGTGGGGAAGCGGCTGTAGGGACAAGGAGGACAGCCCCTCCCAGCCCGCCCTGGGAAGCTGCCGGCTCAAGCCCAGTGGGCTGAGGGACAGTGCCGAGGAATACTGGGGCACGGTATTGCGTTCCCACGAGGGGACAACATCCACCCTCCTTCCCCCTCCCTCCTCTTTCCTGGGGATGAGGTGTGCCTGGTCTGTGTGATGACGGGGCTCTGGCACTGACCTGTGCAAATCCCGGACGACAGGACGCTGGTCTGCTGCAAAGGTGCGAGCCCTGGAGACGTCCTCCCCTCCTGCCCCTTCCCAGGCTGGCACAGGGCAGCCATCCTGGTGACTGCGCGCGGTCTGCGGGCCCATGGTGACCCCCCGGAGGGGCCGTCCTGAGGTCACACCATGGATGGAGTGGTACTACACGTTCTGTGGGCCCTGAAACCTAGATTCATGTTCTCTAATCAGCTTTAACAATAATAAAGTTGATAAAGGCAAAAAAGTCTACCAAGGTTAAAACCGCTGGAGGCGCCTTGAATCCCCTCTCCGAGTCCACACCCGACCTACCAGCAAATGCTATCGGCCCTCGTTCCTTCGCGGTATATCCTAGGCACAGGGACATGCAAAAGACCCACGGGACAACGGAGAGTCCAGAAATGGGCCCAGGTGCCTATGGCCACTCAGTTTACCACGAAGGTACCCTGGCAATTCAGCAGGGAAAGGTGGCTGCTTTTACTATAAATGTTGCTGTAGCAACTGGATTTCCATGT